GCATCGCGCCCACGCGACAAAATAGCAAGCACAGTGCGCGGCACCAAGGCCCCGTCTGTACGCTTAAAGTAACACGGAAGTGAAACACTTGGTTCAACGATGTTCAACGCCTAGAATCTGCTTCTTGGAGCAGCGAGACTCTTGTGTTGCTCACGCACATGCTTCGCTGCAGGATTCGCCAGAATCATCCGCCTCTTCTGCCTCGAAAACCGTGGACTCGCCAGGTTTCCAGCAGTGACGACAGGCCAAGTCGCACGCCAGACCCTTCAGATTCCAGACAGGCGCAGACTCTTGGACCTCCATGGCGGAAACGCCACATCCGCCTCGTCGATGCAGCTCCCGCATCTTCACACGGTACGTGTACTCCTGGAGCTGGTGGACATTGCCGTCATACCTTGCCCTGAGTGGTTTCACTCTCGGGCGATATTTCCATGAACTTGACCCACGTCAGGCCCTCCAGCAATGCCATGGCTGCCGGGGCGATTCCGAAGGAGTTACGCAAGAAAGTGCAGCCTTATCGTGATATGCAAAGCGGGCTCCCTAAGGTCCCTAGAGCACGAAGCTCCGCTGCCAATCTGAATTGAGAAGGCTATCGAATGCATGCGAAGACACTCGGCCTTTTCCGCTTGGCTTGAGCCATGATCGTCAAGGTTCGCAGTTCCGCTCCCGATCCTGATCAGCTGCCTACCTAATCGAGGCTCACACATGTGACGTACTAATTCTTTTGTTTCGCAATGATATCTTTGCGTTCAGTGCTTAAATATGTCAGCGAGCCCGCACACACTTTGCATGCAGCATTATACAGCTCAGCGCGCTGTTCATCGATCGGCTGTGTGCTGCTCTCTGTGCGCTGCGCGCGCTCACCTTCGGCTCTCGATGGCTTTGCGTGCCAGAGGTCGAGCAATGTAATCACTTTTTCGTGATGTTTGGGGTCAGGGAGTGTGAAAAACGCGTCTTGGGTTCGCAGCGTTTTTCGGCCCAAAACGTTGACTTTGGTGCCTGGTGTCTCGATGCCACCGTTCTTCATGTCGAGGTATTTGCGTAGACCTTCGTCTGACTGTAGGCTGTAGGAATTCTAGGCTTTTGTCTGACGCCCCTAAACAAGTGTCGTCAACGTGGTGCAACAGCGTTGCGTCAGTTTTGCAACATGTGTATACTGTCGGGTCACAGGTGCCACGAATGAACTGATACCCCTTGCCGACCAAACCATGCGTGAAACACGTCCCAGCGTTTGCCCCGCGTGCAGCTTCAGGCGCTCACGGCGGCGACTGCGCGTGGAGAAAGGCGGAAGGGTTGCTCAGGCTGGTACTGGAGCAAGTGTTGTGGTGGCTCGGGCGGGCGCTTGGCTGGATCGGTCAGTGCTGTCAAGGTGGCCTTTGTGCCCGGAGCGAGCTCTACCGCCTGGCGCGAGAAACTTCGCCTTCACGGACTTTGGCGCAGGCGCGTTCGCATTTTTGCTCAGCTCAAACCTCGGCGTCGAGCTCGGGTAGCGTTTCAGGACGCCGGCGTGGCATGCGCGGCCGCACGGCTGCTAGCAGCTGGGCCCACTCTTCGCGCGGGAAGGAGTGCGTTCTGGCGAGGAGTATCGCCCCGGCCTTGCGCGCCCGGGTGTCCGAAGCAAGCCAACACCATACGCAGAGTGAGCAGAAATAGTTTCCAGGCTCGACTTGCTGCCGAGCTTTGTGCCCAGCGTTCCACAAGCGTCGCGTGCAAGTGAGTTAGCGCCTGCACCAGGGCACCGCGCACGGCTGCTCGTAGGAACGGTGGAACGTCTTCCAGCGTCGGCAGGGTGGCGGAGCTCTGCTGTGAGATCGACCGCGTCCAGCGCCCCCCAGGGTCCTCCGTGCAATGGGGCCGCGGGGCAGGGCTGTCCGCCTGCGAGCGTCGGGCCTGCCGGCGGCGGCGGCGGCGCGGTCTTCGGTGATCTTTTGTGCCCGTGGCCCTGGTCCTCTGCATGGTTGAAGTCTCGGCGCGAAGCATGCGCGACGCTGTCGCGCACGTCATCCGCGAGCGCTGCCACTTCCATTGCGAGGGCTCCGCCTCCATAAGCCTCGCGCAAAGCGGACTGAGCTGGAGCGCTGAGAAAGCCATCGGCCATCATGCACACCAGCACGGCCGCCGGCAATGGCATTCAATGGCAACGGGGCCTCGGCCAGGAGCACGGAGAGTTGCTGCGTGGCACGGGCGATCGACCTCCGGAGCTGGCGCAGCTGCGTCGTGTGGTTCGCAATCCGCGGCAAGCTGACGCGAGCTCCGCGAAGCGGTTTCCGAGTCACGGTCGCGTGTGCCAGGCCTCTAAGTGGAGACAGCGGTGGCGTGTACCCTAGCGTCGCCTCGCCTGACAAGGGTGGCGCGGCCTCGCCTGCCCGCCTGGGTACGCCCGCGCCCGGAGGCGTGCTATGTCGTGGGGAAGCGGCCGGTGAAGCGAACGGCGTGTCGGCCTCCAGTGTGTCAGAAACGCTCGCGGCTGGTGACAAAGGAGCCGCGGGCAGAAGCAGCATTTGAGCTAGCGCATGCGGTGCACGTGCGCGCTGTTGGCGGACGGTGCGCGCTGGCCGCGGCGACGGTCGGATTCGTCAGCTTGCGTTTGCGATGTTTGCGCCTTTCTATTTCGAAGCCCGGAGGCACGTGAGCAGGACGTCTAGCCGGCGCTGTAGGTTAGCTTGCGAAGCCCGCGGCATGCCCATAACGAACCCTCTGCGGCGTGCCTGCCTTTCTCTCGGAGATGCTTGCCAAGGTCGTGCCATCCGCGCTGTATGCGTGTGGCGGCCCCTGAAGAATTAAAAACTCGAGACGGTAGCCTCGGCCTCCACTCAGTGCATGTTCAGCACGACTGCTGCCGGCGGCTCGGTCGGCAGCGGCCTCGATGAGCCCCGCATGGCCTCCATCTTTGCCAAGCGCCTTGCCGCCTTTGCCAGTTCCGGCACCATGTCCGTGTCCGCCTTTGAGGCGGCGGCCCTTGCCTTTGCCGTCTTTGCCATCCTTGACCCCCGGCGCCTACGGCGTGGTGCTGGGCCACCTCTGCCGCCTTTGCCTTCTTGCTCGTACTGGGCCGGGCCTTGCGGCCGGCTCATGGAGCGGCTGTCGCGGGAGCGGCTGCGACTGCGGCTGCGGCTGCCAAGGCGTGCTGGGCCTGGTGATGGCGGGCCTCGTCGTCCGGGGCCAAGGTGTGTAGGGCCGAGACCACGCCCAGCAGCAAGGACTCTTGACGGTATCTGGTGATATCTGGTTGGCTGACCTTGGGGTGGTCTTTAATGAAGACGGTTTTCACTTTCCTCTTAAAGCCGATTCCTGGCAGAAGGCATGGCTTCGTTTTGCACCGGTCGCAGAGTTGGTGAATTTGGAAACGTCGCGAAGGTGTGCTGAGACACTTCGGAGTGTCGCTGCTCCGCCTGCGTTGAGCCAGAGCGTCCCAGCTGTGTGCACTATTTTGAAATGCAAAGCCGGGACGAATTGTCATTGAAATCCTGCAGCGGCTGGTGTGCACGAGCAAGCATGGCTTTGTTTAGCATGGTTTTCCTGCATCGGCACGAGTAGTGACACCGAAGCTTTTGTGCCGGCCAGGGCCTCACGCAAGGTGTTGTCCCGCACAGTTGTTTTGCGATGTGCCTTTCCTCCTCAACCAGCCAAGCGTTTTTCCGGCTTCCGAAGTACGTAGCGTGGTCCGTGTGCACAAGCACGCCACAGTCTACGGCAAAAGGTCGCGCACAGAGCACGTTCACACCATGCGGCTGGCGAGCCAGCGCTGGTAAGGTGAGTTGGCGAGGATGCCGCTCGGGTGGCAATTTTCCTCGCACGAGCGATCGCGTCTCCCCTTCAACGTTGGCCAAGCTGTTCTTTGGCAGGACAGTGATATGCGACAGGGGAATGCGCATGTGGACAGGAGGCTGGCGAAGGTGTGCTGTCCGACAGAAAAGTGGTTTTCGTTTTGTTCTCACACCTTTCAAAGGTCCTAGAGCGGAACCACTTAAACCCGAAAGGAGGGGCAGCCGAAAGAACCTGGGGACAAGATCCAGTTTGGCGCCTGTACGCTAATGCACGGGGCTTGCGCATTCGGGGAGACGACCGACACATGCTGAAACGTGGCGCGCAGGCAACGGTGCTCGTGCTGCAAAGAGTTCACAGCAGCGGCCATGTAAGGCCCTACAGATGTCTGGCTGGACTGCGACTACATTGCAGGCACAGCTTTCCTCGGCAAGGTGCGTAAACATGCGTGATCTCGTGCCACTTCAAGGCCGATCACAACGGGCTGCTAGCAAGGCGGCTGCATGGCTCTCACCGTTTCCGCCTTGCCGCACGCGGCCCTGCCGTGCTGTTCACGCGGTGAGTTCCCGAGCCAGCGGGGCGCACAAACGTACCATCAACGGCAACTTGCGCTTCTTCGTAAAGCGTGCCGCCCGCAGCGCTGCAGTGTTCATGTCCCGCCCCGTAACGCTTGCTCTGCGCAAGCCGTGCCTTCAGCATCAGGTCGCATGCCCCAACAAGATGCTAAGGTCACCATTCGGGGCAAAGGTTGAAGGCTGAACCCCTGCAACCACAGTACATCCGGTGGCGCAAGACAGGCTTTGCATGGCCTAGCATGAAGGGGGACATCTATGACGATGGCGACAGGAACAAGCCGGAACAGCATCAGCATGCTGCAGACTAGCGGGTGTGGAAGCAGAGCTGAGCTTTGGAATCCAACCACGGACTGCCCGGCTGCCCACTTCGATGGCCCAGCACCCAACGCGAATCTGGAGATGCGAGAGCAGTACGGGCTGTGCGTGAGAGGTTCAGCAAGCGTGTTGGCTGTGAGCTGTCAGCAGAATCAATGCTGCGGCAACTTGTGGAACAGCGTTTCGCTCGTGGTCCGACTGACATGCGGAGGGTTGGAGTTCGTGCTTCCAACGCGACGCGAGCCTTGGCGAACCTCAACACCTCAGATCAGCACCTCCTTTTGTAAGTGACGCCTCGAAACTGTCTTACCCCTTGCGACACCGATGCCATCCAGGTCGGTTTCACTACGCATAGCGAGTCCACACAGCGACCACGCAGTGCCAGGTCTCGAGATTCTGACAACTGCACCACCCTTCCACGTCTGATCTCCATCGTTTTGCGTTGTGAGCCCGACACAAGCGACCAATGGTTACTTCTATAGTGGCTATGTTGCACACCCACCATCTGGGGCAAGCCACTTTGTGAGCCATATCGTTCACGTTCGCATCGCCATAGTTTCGAAGGGATATACCAAAAGAAGGATCATCGACGTTGGCGCTGAGAGCATCGCGAGCCTCGGTTGAAACGTCATAGCGTCACCCATCATGTCGAGAGAAAGCTGCAGAGCAAAGGGCGCACTCGCATCAAAACCGCAGAGCTAAGGCGGCAGCTGCACTGTCAAAGAACCTCACGCACTCATGCGCCTGTGAAAGCACGCCTTAGCAGCTCACATCCCCGCCCCCGCTTCGTTGATTTCAACATGACGTGCTGTGCGTAGAAACTGCATCAAGCCCTGTGTCATCACTTACACATGCCCGGCACGTTCAAACTCCGCGCGCAGCGTCTCCACGTTTTCGTCAAACTGCGTCTTCGCCAACCGGAGCCGGTCCTACCGGCGAAGACGCTCACGGAAAGCTCTCACGTTCCGGGTTGGTTTGTGCCTGCAGCTCAGATGACGGAAGCGCTGCAAACTGCGATGGCGTTGGCATCGGAGGCGTCTAAAACCTTTAAAATGTCGGGAGTTCGCAGGGCTCTGTCCAATTGGCTCATGTTGCCGTTCTCGGTAATTGCGTTGTAATTATCGTTGCTGAGTTCCACTCAGCGACCCAGTTCAGTAGTCAAGGATGGTGAGAACGATAACAGTCTGATCGCTGCAAAAGGTTGTCAGCTCATGTTGAAGGCCTGATGCTCATGGTGATGCCTGGTGTCATGCAATCTGGGCCGTCGTCCACCGACAAATGGCTGCAGTTCAACGGGGGCCTCAGGGCATGGAGCAGCAAGGACGGGAATACTGTTGAGACCAGGGAGATGCTGGGTGAAAGGTAGTGTACCGTTCGGATACCAATCGCGCCGATGTCAGTGGAAGTGCGGAGGGGGACGTGATGTACTTCACTCAGCGACATGAAGGACACAAGATGTAAGGCACCAGAGCCTAGCTCTGCTTCTCAAGGTTTGTTCTTTTCAAGTTGCTGCACAGATTTATCCATTCTTGGCGACATCCTCATTGAAAGCCGGCGTCCACGGTTCATCGCGACATAGAACATTTACCGCACAAGTCCATCAAACATGAACACGGTCACCGACAAGCAAGCAAGCATGTCGCATGAACACACCTCACATAGCACAACGATTTTAGGATGTGAACTTTTAGAACAAAGTGGTTGATATTCATACCGAATCCACACATATTATTTCGCAACGAACAAATCAAGCAAGCAACCCAATCGAACCATGTAGCAAGCAGAGCCGGAGTTGCGATAATCGGCGCTTTCCCGGCATGCGGGAAAACGAAAAGGATGGCCACATGACAGCTCTGCTTTCGCTGCCAAGTGGATCAGATGCCAATCCCAAAACAGACTAGCCAACTCTTTTCGCGTGCAACAGTGTCAGGGATGGCCAGCATCATGAGACTTTGCTGAAAGCCGTGCTTCAACTCGCACGTCAGCACTAAGCATCAGGACAGTCAAAGTCGTTTGGCAACCAGTACACGGACATCCTTTCGGGCACTTGAGTGAAACAGTGAGGTGGTTCCTTCCGAACGGCTACGACCGCACTTGTGATACATGTTCCACGGGTTTTTCTGGCCCCCCTCGCTGCGGCCGAGGCTTTCACGCTTATTCAAAGGGTTGAAAGGTCTTTCTGTCTCAGGCACTCTGGGGAAAGCCAACATGCCCGGCAAAACACACGATGCTTGCGACTAACACGGGGCCAGCCTCCGGCAACCAGCTTTTGCGAAGATTCAAATCTCACTGCACGACCTTTGGAAAAACTGAGAACCGAGAGTGCCCCCACCAGCGAGACAGCTGACGAGGACGACCTGGTGAGTACTGCGGGCCCGAGAAAAATCGCGAACAGACATAAGGAGTGCAAACATGTCTAGATTGCTTACGTGCTCTTTTTGGCGAAAGCGGCTGCAATCTTTGTACAGCATTTACATCATGGTCTGGTGGCGAGTTGGCAAAGGAATCCCAGCCTTCGCAGATTTGTTCATATGATTTTAGATGCTCAACATGCATGGGACGTCCTTTGTTGGCAAGCCCACGTGGCAAGCAAAAGGAGCAAAACACCACAGCTCATCTGTGGGGCAGGTTGCGCTACAGGTTTGCATCCATCTTTGGCTTCGCCAAGGCCTGTCCCCAAGGGCAAGGCTGACAGAAACCAGCAAGGACACTTCGGCATCAAGCCAGGCCTCCTGTAAGCGTGCATCCATCATCTGCAACCGGGAGTCCAACAGGTTCACCTGGAGAGAGCACGTGGAAAATCCCGAACGCACAGAGTCGCACCAGGCTGAAAAAAAAGCTCCTGTGAAGATGCACACAAGCCTGATCTGCCTAAACAGCTGCGAGCCCTGGAAGTAGAAGTCAACATCCAACTACGACTCCGAAGGCCGCTGGAATGAAAAGATCCCATGTACCATATTATGTCATATCATATTATCATCCGCAAATCGAATCACAGAGGCTACTGCACACACCACTCTTTTCACATCGCCAGTGCCGTCCCAGTCTGTAGAACCCGTTACTACGGGAAATGCTTTGGTAAAACATCCGGATGAATGGGGCTAGCAAAACCCGGGTCAACTCCGGGTTGCAAGCCCCACCCCGAACCAACACGGTTCGATATCCCCTCCGAATGCAGTCGAGAACACTCTCGCTGCCCACCCTAAGAGAGAGGATAGCCCCACGGGGGATCGTCTCAGTAAAAGGGAGGGAGGGCGGGCAACAAAATCCTGCCGTTTTGGCTCAACTGCCAAGGCTTGAACCAAAAGGCATGATATCGATCGCAGATGATACATGTGCACCCAAGCCTGCCAAACTCTACACATGGTATACATCCGCAAATCGAATCACAGAGGCTACTGCACACACCACTCTTTTCACATCGCCAGTGCCGTCCCAGTCTGTAGAACCCGTTACTACGGGAAATGCTTTGGTAAAACATCCGGATGAATGGGGCTGGCAAAAACCCGGGTCAACTCCGGGTTGCAAGCCCCACCCCGAACCAACACGGTTCGATATCCCAATGCACTAATCCCAAAGCACTTCTACAGAAACTGAAACACCAGCATGGCCGGCACCAGAGGCAGAGACCACACCTCGGTAGGAAAAAGAGCGTGGTGAAGGCAGAAGCCGCGAGAAGCAGCCCACGGGTCCGACGCACCCAATCGACTGATCGAGTCGGACCAGTTGGACTTACTGGGTACCCACTCCCAGTATACCCAAACTTGAAGAGAGAAGAGGGCCACATGAATGAGGTGTGCCAGCCGCTCGAGGTCGGGAGAATCGGAACGCCCTCGAATGAGTGCCATAAGCGCGGCTACGTTGTCAATATACCATGTGCCACGACGAGAACGAAAAGTAGAAGCCCGAGCTGTAAGGGCGAAGAGGACCATTGAAAGCTCGAGCTGCGCGATTTTAACCTCCCCCGGGAGAAAGGCATCATACGTATGCCGATCGACCTGTGCCACGAAGGCTTCGCGGCTGGGCTCGCTGCCCGGCCAGAGCAACAGGAAACCGCCCGTGCCCTTGCGCGGTTCGTCCTCCGCGGCATCGCTAGCTGCGACGAATCGGGCACAGGGGGAGGGTAGCACCTCCACGGACCGACGCGGTCGCAGTGCCAAGATGGCTCGGATAACCTCGAATGACGAGCGGATAGCTGGGGTCAACTCCCGAGCTGCCTCGTACTGGCGTTCCTTGAGGGCGCCGATGCCCCCTGTGCCAATGCGGCCATACACCCCCTGTTCGAGAAAATTGAGCATGCCATACAGCTTCGACGCCAAGCCTGGAGGCAGGGAGTTATCCTGCTCAGCCTGCAACAAAAGGCCCTCGACCTTGGCTTGGAGCCTGGACCGGACCCAGAACCTAACGACGTGGTGACACCCCACGTCGCGGAAGTCCCACTCCAGCCCGAGAAAGTCGCCGACTGTGCTCATCGGCTGTCGCTTTGCCTCCGCGAAGGGGGAGCCCAGAAGTTTGTTGACCTCGGAGAAGGCGAACTGGGCTGAGCCCTTCGCAGAAGCGGGGTCGGTAAGGTGCGCATCATCGAAATACATAGAGACCAGGACACAGACGAGCCGGCGGCCCACCGCCTCGGAGAAACGGCTGAGCCGATTGAAGCTGGTCACTGCCAAAGGGAGCCCAAAGAGGAGACCGGAATATAGCTGGTACGCCGGCTGGGCCCAATCCTTATGGTACCATACCACCACGCAGGCCCTGGACTGGTCCTCGTCCATAGGGCAATGGCGATAGGCGTCCGGCCAGTCTTCGCCGCCGCCTTCCCACTGGTCTTCCTCCAGCAGGCGGCGGGCGACCGCCGGGCTGGCGCATCGCATTGCCAAGGAAACATGCTGGGCCGGGCGGAGGGCTGAGCACAACACCAACTTGTTAGAGTCAGAGCTCAACTCGCTCTGGCCTCCATGGTCCGCGTTGTCGATCACCCTCTGCTTCCCGGAAGCCTGAGAAATCACGCACCTCGGTATCAAACGAATCGGTTTGCCCTTGGTGTGGCGAAGAAGCTCCGACCAGGACAACGGTGCCGAACAAAACCCCGCTTCGAAGTCCTTGGTAGATTGCTCCAGCAAAAAGTCATCGTGTGGGCCTGGCCGAATAGATCCTTGGACAGCTTTGTTGTGGGATTCCACGTTCTCGAAAAGACGATGGAGAGGAATTGTGTCGAAGCCCTGCTGCGGGAAGACTCCGCAGGGGAGAGAGGTACCGACCGCGGGCATGCCGAACAAAAGGTGTGAAGGGAGAGTGGTGTCCGGCCAAGACAACAGAACAACAAAGAGACTGAGCAAGCCCAGGTCCCGCTGGGCCGTGACCTTCCGGACCGCCGGAGTCTGGAGCTTACGCAGGTGGTCCCCCACATGGCTCCAACGGCGCTTCAACTCCCGAAGCGGGCCGACACACTCGCGCCTCAACTCGCGAGGCGGCCAAGAGACCCGGTCTTGGTCCAAGACCGGAGGGTGTTCTGTAGGCAAGGGGTCGTCCCCCCTAGCCAAAGCCTGCCGGAAGTGCTCATCCGGGGACAGGCCGAAGGGGAGGAGGGGGGGGAGCGCCGCCCTCCCCGAAAGCGCCCTGACCCTCCGCTGTGCGCTGCATCAACCTGCAGGCGGGGTCAGAAAGAGAAGGGCCCAACGCGCCATCCCAGCGAAGCCCTTGTTCCCGCAACCACTGGGGGAAAAGAGTGAAAGGAGGACTGTTCACCAGGTCCTCGATGAAAGGAAAGACGAAGCCACGGAAGGCCGAGGAAGGGAACAGGCTGCGGAAAGCCGTGATGACGGACTCCTGCGGGGAGTAGGGAATAACGTGGGCGACAGAGGCTGGTATCTGGGTGAAGGCGGCCCACGCGGCACTCCATGCCGGGGCTGGCATACCCTGCCAGCTGCCTCCCCTCCGGCTCGAGGCCAATTGGTACCACACCAGGCCTGCCAGGACGTCCCTTTCACACAAGGAGCCCAAGGGGCAATCGCAGACAAGGGTCGCGCCCTGCAAGTCGGGGAGAGAAGTCCAGAAATTGCAAATGATGTGCTCGACAAAGAGATGCATCCACTCGGACGGGGAGCAGTCGTGCCCTGGAGTGTACGGGGAACACCATTTGGTAACTGGCAGCCTGTGCGAATGGTGCCCGCGCCCCACGTACACATGCCCTGGCGGCAAGGACCGGTCGTGTAACTCGACCTCGCCCACGGCTCGTCCAAGCGGGACCAGGCGGTCCATTCCCGGATCATGTGGGCGTAGGCCCAAAAATACAGCCATGGGCTCCACTGCCCATTCGGCGCGCGCTCGGGGGTTGCCGTCCCCCCAAGTGCTCGCGCCGACCCACCGGCTCTACCAACGGCCATCGATGGACCCGGAGCTTCGCTCGGCCACACCTAGCAGCCCAGACTGCCACGGAAAAGGCGAAGCAGGCCGTGGGAACGGGCGGAGACCCTCGCGACCCCTCCCCCCAGGGGTCACTCCCCTGAGGCGGGTGGCGGTGGTGGCACCGAACCGAAGGCAATTGCTGGAGCTCGGCCACGTTGTGTCGAAGGAGTCTAGTATGCCTGTGCACGTCGAGAAAGACGCAGGAGTCATACCAGAGATCGAGCCAAACTGCTGAAGGACTGCTGGCCGAGCCTGTTTCTGGAGGAACCCCCTCCTGAACAACGGCAGCCCCTCTGGAGGCACAGCCTTGCAACAGCTGCTCGAAGGAGTCCGGCGAGATAGGCGGAGGCGCGGCCAGCCCCGTCCAAACGCAATCGGCCTCTTGGGTCAAGCGATCGGCGGCCAAGACTTTCCAACCGCAGCACTGAAAAGCCCGGCCCAGAGTGATGTCTTCGCGGTGAAGCATCACCAGGCAAGGGGTCAACTCCCCTGCGAAGGGGGAGTCCGCGACCCCGGGCTCAGCATCCCCCACTGCTGGGCCAGGGCCCCATCACGAACTCCTCGCTTTCGCCTTGGCCTTGCACTTCGCTGCCCCATGGTTGGGCGCACCACAGACGCGCTCGGCCCGGAGAACCACGGCGCAGCGATGGGCCCCATTCGGGCACGGAGGTGCGTGCTTGCAGGACCCTTTCTGGTAGTCACCGCAAAGCTTGGTGCCATCTTTCATCACGCGGGCTGTGGGCTTAACCTCTTTAATAACTGCTCCGAGTGTCCGGGTCCCCTCCCGGAACCGCGAGACCCACTCCGCTCGCTCCTCGGCATCCCGATGCTGAAGCCAGCTCAGCCGCTGCGCGGGAGCGACTTGCATGGCGGCCTTACGGGCCCGGTAGTAGTATGCCAGCACACAATCCAAAGGCACCTCGACGAACTGGCAAGAGTTGGCGCCCAGCGTTTTCTCTCCCGCCGGGTCAACCCCCGCGATCACCTGCACCCCGTTGTGCGCGTATGCGATCATAAGCGTGTGGAGCTTGTGAAGATATGTATCCACATCCCGAGCGACGACCTCGTCGACTTCAGGCTCATCGGTATAGAGGCCATCAGCCAGCTTGCGCCGCTTTTGTGAGGTGCCTAACTGGGATTGTAGGGATCGCACTCGCCATACGTCATATATACAAAGCATCCTTTTGGAAAGTTCCCGAGAGATGCGGGAGACTGTTGCGTCGGAGGGTTGCACTTCGGCAGGAAAGCGCAACTTGTAGCGAATCCAAAAGGCTTCCTTCAACGTGCGAAGTTCGGAGTCTGCCAAAATCGAGTCGAGGTCGGCCAAGGCAACCTTAGAGCGGTCTTGCTCCGCCTGGGTGTAGTATGTGCATGTTGCCTTCCACGCCCTACGAAGGCGGGCGGTCTGCAACATAGTGGCGTCCCCTAGTCCCAACTTCCCCACCCAGGTACCTATAGCCGCCTCGTTCTCGAATAAGAAGTGAAACTCCTCGAGGTGGCGAATCCCAGTGCCGAGCACTTCTGCGACCACCTTGGCGTCCAAACCGAAATTCATCTGCAGGCTATCCATGCTCGCCTTAATGTCCTGCTCCACTCGAGGGACAAGCGAAACTGACGACATGGGGCCTACGTCGAGGTCGACCCCCCGAAGAGCCTGCACGAGGGTCAAACTCCCAGCCTATCGCCAGCCTCCGCGATCCCCTCGGTCAGCTCCGAGGTTGCGGTACCTTCGAGCAAGGCGAGGACCAACTGACCGGACCGAGAAGAAGAGAGAGAGAGGGGAAAGAGAGAGCAGCAAGCAGCAAGCAGGGAAAAGAGGGTGGGGGCTAGGGAAAAGGTGCAGGCACTCAGTCACGACTGCATCACCACAGCCACTGCTCCTACACTCCGCGCCCGCAACCCTCTTTTTCTCGCTCCTCTTGCTAAGATACGGTACCAGCCACGGCGGGCACACGGGCTCTTATGCGGCACCCGCAAAATAGATTTGCTGGTGGCGAACTGGTCGACTTCGAATTACCGGCATATCGTGGCGAAAGCCTCGCTTCGTCGAGGTGCCTATACCGGAAAATACTTGGAGGATGCTCGTGAAAAGCAGCCCTCACAGATGGGTCGCTCCCATCCGATGGCCTCTAGCTTGCTAGTCGTGCGCTGCGGGTTGGCCAACCGGCGCCTCTCAATACCCTGCTTGTGCTTGCAGATAGGAACGCCTTCCTCCGGGGACTCGAGGTGGAGGTGCGAGCTCGCAGTGGCGATATATCCGCGTGGCTGCACAGGTGTTGGGGGGACACGTGTGTTACGCACGGCCCCGGCCAACCACGAACCCAGGCTGCGGTCTTGCTGGATAGCGCGATCCACCTCGATCTGTCTCACCCTCAGGATCGCCTGGTTCGCCTCCTCCTGGGTCTCGCCTGCCAACACCGCCCGGCATGCGACGCCGGTAGTCGCGGCCCTGTGCCGGCCCGCCATACAGTGGAGTAATACATTGTGGCCCGCCAAGAGCGTGCGTGCGATTGCACTGAAGATGCGGAGCCACTCTTCCTCCCGGGACTGCCTGGCCGAGACGTTGAACAGCAGGTTCCGGCTGCACAGGGCTATGCCGCCCCGTTGTTCCGGGGTTCGATCCATACAAGTAATCTGCAAATGGATCGTCGGGAATTGGCCACTGGTTTCCCGCAGCGGCAAGCCGGACAGGAAAAGACGCCCTCCTGCCGGCGATTCCCAAATACAGGTGGGGCGCTGGACTGGGCGCCTGCCCGCCAAATTGTCGAAGACCGCCTGGTTCTCAGCCTCTGTGGGGTCCGGCGCCGGCGGGGTCCTGAAGGCCTTGGGCATAGCTTTGATCTTCGGGGCAGGGGAGCTGCCCGAGCCCCGAGCCGTGGAGCCTGTAGCTGCTGCCGTGTCAACCCGGCGTGCCGGAGCCGGTGACTCGCGCCCAGGCCCACACCTGATCCTGCCCCCCAAGGTAACGTTCCGGGAGGCGAAGCCAGGGGAAGCGGGGGAGCCACGTCACCACCTGGCGCCACCCTCCTTCTGGAGTCTCGCCGGCCATCACCTTCGGCAGGTGCGTCGGCTGGACGCCGTCGGGAAGCAGGCGCTGGCTCAGGCGATTGTCCGGGGACGACATAGCCGGTAGGCCATATTTCTTGGTGCGGCAGTCCAGGGCCGCATGCTTCCCGCCGCAGACTCTGTCTGTAGAGAGCTTGGTGGCAGCGCACCTGTGAAGGAAAGGGCAGTCGGATCCCCGCCGACAGTTACCCAAGTTGAAGCCGGTGCACAGCCGGCCGCCGTCCTTGAAGTTCTGCGACGTCTTGTGGCGACCGATGTAAGGCATGGGGGAACCAGGTGCGGGCACCTCCGCAGCAGCCGAGCTGGGCCGGGCCGCCACTGCTTTAGGCTCCGCCCTGCGCTTCGACCGCAGCTTCGCCAGAGGTAGCACCGGGCCGGCCAAAGACTTGCGTGCAAGAGGGGCAGCCAACCTCATGGTAAACTTCTTGGGCTTGTGCGCGGCGAAGGCGGGTCCCTGCCACAGGAGCTCCTTGTCAGCCCTGACCTGTGAGTCGCATAGGGACTGGGCCAAAGTCGTGTGCTCCGCGACGTCCTGCGGGGTCACCGCATCCCACGTCGGATAGGGGCGCAACTCCCCCATGTAGGCCCACACCAAATGCTTGACCCGAACGCTCTCCTTGTAGCGCAACCCACTGTAGTGGACGGGCATGGCACTCCTCTGGTCAGAGACTCGATCTTGCCAGTCCCCAAGGGCGTTCGACTCGCCCGGCGAAAGCTGCGCCAGCATAGCCACAGAAGGGCCGCGCCAGCTATAGGAGGTCAGCTCCTCCGGATTGGCCACCACATCCGTGAAAGCCGCCTGCACGGCCAGGGTAGACTCCCTGAGGGACCACGAGAAGCCCCGAGCATCGAAGCATAGCCCGCACTGGCTCCGCCGGCCTTTGGGCAGGGCCTCGAAGGCTTCTTTCCAAGGCTCGGTCCAGTTCCATCCAGAAGCGAAGGCGGCCGGAATGGCGAAGTAAAAACCCTGCCGCAGGCGGCGCTGCTTGCCCTTGTTGCAGAAGGCATGCACGGTCGACCCCGTGATGCGCAGGACCTCGCTCCTGCGAAGGTGGGCATACCGCATGCAGCTGGAGGCCTGCATCCATTGCCCCAGCATCGCAGTCCACCGAGGGTCGCCCATAATGCACCGGTCCTCAATAACCTTCTCCAGGTGGACCAGCATCGGCGGTTCGGCCAAGGTGGCCTGCCGCTCGTCCCTAGGCTTTCGGCGCTGATCGGTCCGGGGTGCATCCGGAATCTTCCAGGCGAGCTCCGCTTGCTTGGCAGCCCACCGCAAGCCCGCCACGGCACGATGAGGAGCGGCCGAGTTGAAGATAAAGGCGTCCAGGTCCAGGGTGTCCACCTCTTCCAGCCCGTCTCTGCCCCGGGCAACCTGGAAATGCTGAAGCTCGCGAAGGGAAACCACGGCCTTCTTGATCGTGGCCACTTCCGCTTCGCTGCACACTTTGGCAGCACGGCGCCTCACAAAGTTCTCCCACTCAGCTTGGCGTCCCGCGTTGAGCTCACCGCTCGGGCGCTGAACCTTGGCATCTACCCAAAGGTCGGCGAGTTCCTCGACCAATGGTGTCTCCAAGGCAGCGCGCTCCACAGGCGTACGGGCTTGCAGCGGTGCCTTGGGCACGGCTGCCCGCCGCCGCGGCAAAGGCGGGCGAGGCTTGGTGGAAGGTTTGGCCGCCGCCGCTCCGGCTTGGGCTGCCTCATGTGCGAAAGCCAGAGCCTTGCCCTCGTCCACTCGCTCGCGGACTTCGCGCCATTTGGCTGCGATTTCTGCTCCAGCTTGCCTCTGTGCCTCTTCCGCCGACATAAAGACGTAGGCGAACTCCTCGTCATCGGCCAGGCCAAAGGCGCGGCGCCAAGCCTCCACTCGGACCTCTACCGGGGTACCCTCCCCGAAGAGTCCGGAAGACGGGCCGGGCTGGCTATCGCCATCTCCTGCCGCCTCAAGCGACTGCTGGGCATACACACCGGCCATCGCAGCTGCTAGCAGAGGCCTGAGCCGAGAAGCCGCCGTGGAAGCTGATCGCGAAGGCCGGGCAACGGCAGAAGCAGAGCAGGAGAGCGACTGAAGACCGGGCGGGTCGCCACCGCCGAAGACAGCCCCAGGTCCACTCCTGGTTGCAGCCCTAGTCCTAGGGCATCGGGGGTCGCCACCCCGGTATAAAAATATGCCTGCAGTCTCCGCCGCGGCTCCTGCCGGTCATAATAAAGGGAACGCCCCTTCCAGAATCGCCCACCATCAGAGGCACCGAATGCAGCGGCCCAGGCAGTCTCCACAAGCCGCTGCGTCACACCGCCGACAGCGGAAGACCGTTGGCACCCCGCAGCTGTGGCAGGCTGCTGGCAATAATCCCGGCCCGTAAGCCACGGCCCCAAGCCACAGCCAGATGGTCCTGTGCGCCCGTGATCTTTCATCCTCCCGGGCAGCCTCCCAAGAAGGGACCTCGACTCCGGGCTCGATCCACACCCGGCTCCCAGCTTGCCACCGTCGGAAAACGATCCAGAGCTCGGCTGAGCTGGCTGCCCGAGGGTGGGTCTGTTCTGCCACCCGAGAAAAGAGCGCGTAGAGGTGGTTCGGCAGCAGGTCGGTAGGCCAAAGGCCCGAATGTAGGGCCGTGATGTCGCCCGGCGACAAATAGGAGCGGCATGCATGGTAAGCACTCCACGCTTGAGCCGGGTCACTCCCTGGGCGGACAATCGCTGCTGCATGTGTGAATGTACCCACAAAAGGCAGCTGGAACCCTCCACGGCTCTGGGCGCACCGGGCACAGTCCGTGACGACACACGGGACCGTGCGGATAGGTGGCAGACCTGCAGGTAATCCGTCGAGCAGTGGAGGGGGAGGAGGGTAATGTTGGATCTCAAGGGCTGATGCCCACAGCCTGGCTGCATCCACATTCCGACCCTCGGAAACCAAAAACCGAAGCTGAGCCCTGAGATCCAGCATAGCCGCTGGGTGCAACACCTGGGCCTCGGTATGCACAGCGAAGCGGCTGATAACGTAAGCAAGGACCTCAGGTGACTCCTGATCAAAGACATGTGCCATAATAAGCGGGTCGACTCCGCGAGCTAATGGCAACAAATCCTGCCTTTTTGGCTCAACTGCCAAGGCTTGAACCAAAAGGCATGATATCGATCGCAGATGATACATGTGCACCCAAGCCTGCCAAACTCTACACATGGTATAATGATGCTTACGGGTGACTAGACTGCAGACTCTAGACGCGTATCATCTAGAAGGCCTCGCCCGTGGGTTGCATATGCAAGGAAACGGAAACACCATGTCATGTGGGAGAGCCGCGAGCCCCCCGGCCTGTTGGCTCACCGCATTCAAGCCGCGGGCCTTGACAGTCTCACGTTGCATGCACGGGAGTCTCAAGGAAAAGAAGGGCCCTTCTTAAGAACCCAAGACAATCGGATCTTCATTGCGAGGCTGTTCATTTCTGAAACCAAATTGCGTTTCGCAACTAGGGAAGCCCTTAGCTCCAGGCAAAGCTCCGCCGGAGCTCCAGTATGGACCTCAAGAAGGGATTTCAATGGTAGGGCATTTAGGGCTTAGGGTCCAGGGCTCATGCCTCGCGAAGCATCTTCGCTGGGGCCCGCGCATGGGACGCAGCTCGGCGGATACCTGCACCATCCCATACAGGAGCTCCTCAAGACGGGAAGAAAGCGAAGCACGTCTGCCTGTGACACAGCAGCTCGCCTCGATCTCAACGATGCCCGAATCATCGTAGTCGACGAGGTTAAAAATCGCCTCCAAGTCCTTCCGGGTGAAACTTCCCCAGCTTTGCATGGACCCAAAGCTTCCGAGCCCTCCCGGCTGCCTTCTCTCGGAGGGGCGTGGCATCCACCTCGGAGAGCGACAAGACCTGACAGGTCACTGCTTCAAGGAAACAGGCTCTCATATCCACTTCACTCATCCGGGCCTTGTCCTTGCACTTTTCGAACTGGGACTTGTCGATGTAATGGGCGTCGGCACCGCTGTGGTCCTGTTCAAAGGGCAGTCACCACGTCCAGCCATGTCCAGCCTCGGCCTGAGCATGGAAGTCCTGGAGGACCCTGCGACACAATCGGATGAAGACCGCTCGCGCCTGGAGTCTGGAGAGGGAGCGGCGGCTCGGCAACATGGGAGGGTCGTCAGCGCTGAGCCGCCGGCCGTCTCTCTCTCAAACCGTCGTTCCTCCTGCCCAAAGTCATGCCGAGAAGATTTCAGGCTCTGAGACAAGTGCCGCCTGTCGCATGCGGCTTTTTTCCACCATCCCCTCTGTGATGACACCAGTAAGAATACTGGCCTGGCAGACGCTCATGCGGCATTTTCAACAGGAGGCTTCAGCCAACAAACTTGCGAGCTTAGCCATCATGAAGGCCCCGAAAATGACGAAAATCACCAGGAAGGTCTTTAGAGACGGATTGCCGGCGTAGACCTGTACACCACTAGAAGAACTTCTGCCCGGAACTAAAGAAGCATTCGAAGAAGGACAATTGGGGCCCGGCAGGCTGGAAACGCTCCTGTGCCGTGGCAAGGCGGAAGAAGAAGCAAGAGCTGCTTTCTGACGTCCCTTGCCACTCTGACCATCAAAAGCTTCTTCCCTGAGTCTGGGGACCATGTTGGGAAATGCCATAAGCTCGAACAACGTCAGCATCGACGAGCCGAGAGAGCCTCAGAGCAAGCACGGAAGACGACATCAGATCCTCCAAAAGAGGGCTCTATAGCGTGATCTACAGCGACCTATAGGGAGCAGACCGAAGTACTCTTGCTTTACCAGCGCCTGCAGCTCAAGGTCTGAGGATCGGCCCGAGACCGGCAGCGCCTTCTGCCGTGGCACCAGCGGGTCACCATCGAGTGGATGGCCCACAAGCCTCTCGACTCTCTGTGGCATGGCACCACAAAGGCCCCAGAAAGCAAGGCATTAAGGGTGACTAACGGGCCTGGTGAGGACGATGGCACAGATGTACAGGATCAGGACGCAAATCACACTGACCTGCGCAATCTCCGATTGGCCCCAGGAAACCTTCCCAGTTCGACCGGTCTCAGCGTCGAGCCCAGAAGACGGATTGAACCGCATCAAAAAGGCTAGACGCCAGTATGTGCAGCCTCGGTAAAAGGCTGGACTTTTAGACCTCTGAAGCTGGAGCGAGCTGGAGGAAGTTTAGTGAGATCGCGGCTGTCTCATGACCCGGAAGATGCGGAAAATCCGGAGAATTCGAAGCAGCCTGGCTCGGGATGACGAGATCAGAAAGGCTCCTTCGTAAACAAGCCTGGCCTGAACACCCGCATAAGGACGATGTACAGCTGCGGCCCTTCACAGTGCCAAGCTCAGGCTTCCAGGCTACAAGTACTGCCCGCAAAGGAATCACAGGAGTCTGAATTAAAACCGGGCCTTGCTTCAGCCGATTGACCAAAGACAATCCTCGATCCATCACCTGAGAAAACAGGCACGAAGAGTTGAGTCCCTGATTCCTCACGCCCACGAAAGCGGTCCGGCGGTCCCGTCCCGGGGCAGCCACCCCCAAGAAGACCAGCGTGAAATCGAAGGCCTCGCTGGGCAGCAGAGTCAATTTCCGTGGCGCCACAGTGCGCAGCGTGATTTTTCAATCAACAGCGGCATAAGACATCGGCGTTCCATACGCCGTCCTGCCAGGCACAATGCTTGTAGGCTTCTGGAATCTCAGATCTGGAGATGTAAGCAGGGCCGGGCCCACCGATCCGGTGGCGCTGAAAAAGCCCAAGATGCCATAAGCACAGAGCCTGCCAAGGCTGCGCATGCATCAGTCGGATTCAGCCCGTCTCACTGCGATCCTGCTCCTGTCATCACCTGCCTCATGCAAAGTTCGACGGCGAAGAGCGAAAGAAAGCTGTCCTAGCGGAGTATGCTCAGATCCATGCTAGGCTTTCAGAGATGTCTCAAGCTGGCCTCCAGAATCGGGAACAGCCTCGAAGCGCAGGTAATTTTTCTTTACAGCTCATGAATGATTCCACGGCTGATAGGGGCCAGCCCCAGCAGACCAGGGACCAGGGATCCGGCCAATCGTACTCTTTCACTTGGTCTGTTTCCAGGCCGATGACCAAGGCATTGGCCAAGATAATGGCGCCTCAATGCGCAGAGAGACGGGAAAGGAAGAGCGTGGCAGTGCACGACTCACCAAGGCACTTGCCGACAATCGATTGAAACCATGGTGCCTCCACCAAGGCCTGGAAGGAGACTCCGAGCGAGAGAAGCAGGAGTTGATATGCTGTTCCAGAGGCACCAGGAGTGTTGAAGGCGGCAGATCCTCGTCATACCTGAGATTAGGCACTCGAAAAACTCGTTCATGCCATGATTTTGCTCGGAGCACGAAGGGGTCCCGTCATCGCTGAAGTCAGTGGCTACAGGCCTTGAATCGCAGTCACAGCCAGAACAGCATGAAAGTTCTGCGCCCCTCTACGCGCAAGGTCGCGAGCATGTACGATGACGAGTCGTCTTTCAACAGCCGCATCTTCTCCTGAAATTGCTCGATGCCAGCAATTAGAGAAAGGCTACTCACAGGCAGAAGAGTGAGTGAGTGCAACAGAGAGAGTTCGGTCAGAAAGAGGTTCGGGATGTGGGAGTTCACATGACAAAGAGGGGAGCCAGAGTGCAAGCCCATCTAGGTACAGGTGCAGAGACAGACAGGCAGACAGAAACACCAGTCCCATCGGCGACCATGACTCCGGACATCGGCAGGCAGGCGGGCAAAGAGAAACAAGAGGGGAGGGAGGGAGGGAGAGCGAGAGAGGAGAGAGAGAGAGAGAGAGAGAGACAGAGAGAGAGAGAGGGGTGTAAAGAAACAGAGACATAACAGAGAGGGAAGGAGACGCGAAGTAGAAACAGATAGAGATGCATGGTCTGGCATCTGCCGTTCCCGTCCCTAAACCCTAACATCAAGAGCTTAAGCTAAACCCTAAACCCCAAAACCCCGCAACCGCACCCATGTTCATTCCACACCCCACCCCACAAGGGGGGAGCATGAGGGGGGAGGGGGGAGGCACGGAGCCTGTGACCGTACATCTACATGCACCTATACAGTATATGCGTATTACACAGACGCAAAACAACGTGTCCTGCATTGCAGGGGCAGACTGGAATCACGCACATGAGGTCATGGTCTGTAGAGCAACTGCACCGAAAGTCTTCTGATGTCGGAGACAGAACTGCCTGGAACTACCTGTGTCTGCTGTGTTGCCGAGTTCCACCTTGAGCCACACATGCGACTGTAGTGGGACAAGCAACGAGTCTTATATTTGCTACTTGCTACCTGGCAAGTGCACAGGAGAATCAAATTCACGCGTACTCGCAGTTCAATGAATAATCACATGAGTCCCTATGGGTAGCGGTGGTGTGTGACGATTCAGTGCGATACGCGGGAACTTACTTTCCGCATCCTTGTCTTTTCTTCGGCACGAGCGACAAAAGGTGATATCCCGTACGAGTATGTACCATCGGAAAACACGAATGGCAAGCCAGGTTTGTTATCACAACTCATCCGGCCCGGTCCATGTCGTGCCCTTGCAAACAATCGTGGGCGCCGTGCACCGAGGGATAAGTCTGTAGCCCGGGCTCGCACCGAATGTCGCGACTGTCGCGTTGATGCGAGAGTGAAACATCTCCACAAACGCTTCCGGATGCGCTCCGTCGTAGGTACAAGAGCCCAAGAGAGCTCGAAGCCTTGATCTGTGCAATGTAATTTCCCTGAGCCAGTGAATGGTCTCCTCCCGGCTGGGACAAATTCACAAGATTTCCGCACTCCTGCTTGTGAGAAGCGGCATTCATGATTTCTGAACGACTGGCCTCACATGAACTGCAAACCTAGACAATGCCCACGATGCCATGGAACTCCATCTCCGATCACGGAGTCGAAGCCCTTCGTTTGCATCACCCTGCACATCCCAAGTATTTGCCCCGGGTGCCTTCAATCACCCTGCACTTAGGGTGATGCAGACTTGTGGCTCGTGTCTGGGTGCAAACCTAAACTGGAACTGGACCGCGCAAACCCTCGCATGAAGCGCGGGGCTCGCTTGGTCGCATGAGCTGCATAAGACCCACATCGTCGTTTCCCATAAACTAAGTCAACCAACTCATCCATCGGGTCTCAAAAGGGGCAAATGGAAGGAATGGTTCATTCGCTTCTTCGCTTCTGCAACTTCAAACACATGGATCCAGGACTCTCTTTGAAAGTTCCTTAGCTCCAATCGAAGGCCAGGCCATCTGCCCTCAGCTTTCGAAACCTCCTGCCTGGCAACAAGTCTCATGCATCCGAACAAAGAGCCTGTCGTGGCACTTCAGGCACGGGCGTCACTTAGAGAGACTCCAGGGGGACGTCGCCCTGACATGGTCCTGCCCGGCCGAAGCATGCCGGGCCACGTGGCTAGCGGCTGCCCTTTGGGGAAGTCCTTGGAGCCCAAAGCCCCGCCACAGCGGGAACCTGCGAAGGACGCAGAGCGCACGAATCTCTCCAAGGAAGCTCCCGGCGGACTCCCCGCCCCCGAAGCCCTCGCCTTTTCCAACTCGACCGACTCGAGGGAGCCTGGCAACCCCGCGACTCGAACACTCCGAGCATTCTTACTTGCTGTGTCGAAAGAACTCCGAGAGCTCTGCAAAGTTGGAGAGAGGCCTGGCCACTCTCAAAAACACTCTCCGTGGCGGACGCGGGCGGCTCAGCGATACGCACACAGCGAGTTCTCACAAGCACTTCAGCGTCGGAGCGGCATTCGTCTACGGGATCATCTCGGCCGTGCAGGTTCGCGAGCATTTGAACACCTCCGAATTGCAGGGCTTCTCGAGCATTTATCGGTGCAAGCCGAGGCCACGACCAAACCAAGCCAAAGGTAAGCAAGCAAAAACCGTGCAGAACCTGGGTGCAGTGCAGTCAAACAGGACGCACCTGGTCGTCTCACTTGGCCTTGGGTTCACACGTTCCAACGAAGCTCCAGATGAACCCATGCCAATACCTGCAGCAGACAGGCCGCATGGTGTCTTTGGGAGGCATCTCCTGTCATAAACTGAGGGCGTGTCCGAGGATGTCGCGTGTGTGTTCGGAAAAACTTGCGCTGCGATGCCGTGTCATACGGCGTCACAAAATTGCGCTGCACCCAAGACCTCGGAGATGCAGCAGCGTCTTCAAACCGACGCACTCCGACGCACATACACAGCACGGCTGAGACAGAAGCGCTAAGTAGAACTCAAAGAAGCCTGCAGGCCACGTCGAGCTGCCATCGTTCCACAACGCTCCAGTCTACCGACGAGCCGCCTCGCACCGGCGAGTCGACGGCACGGATGCGGGTCCAGGCCTCCGCCCATTCCGCAAAGCAACAGAGCCCTTCTCTCGGAGTCTTTGCAGTGAGGGTCTGACTACTTGGAGCGGCTTCGTGTGCAAGAGCACCGCACCCTCAGGTACCTGTCAAAGAAGCTGAGGTTTTATGACTTCGAGTTCATACATAGAGGTCCCCGGCGCCCGCCTGTATCAAGCTCCCTGCGGTTACATCCATGGTTTCCAATAGCTGATGGTCATGATGCTGCAGCTGAACCTGTCCGGGCTCGATCCAGAAAGCAGATTGCTGATTGCTTCGCAGCCCGTGCCTGAGCATCGCCATCCAAGTAAAGGACAGCAACGCCACCTGAGCTGTCCGGAAATCCGAGCCTCTCTTACGCTTAGACACTCTGCAAGCATCATGAGAGTCGCTGAGGAGACCTCTCCAGCTTGACTCGTCGTGGAGGGCTCTGACCTCTGCGGCAAAAACACGCATCTTGTTTTCTTACTTGTCGTAGCCTGCGAAGCTTGGAGCAGAACAGCCGTGATGTTGTCGAAGTGTACGTCACCAAGGTGCCTCCGAGCAAGGCGCTTTTTGCTCGGAAGAAGCATCGGTGGAGTCTCGCTCAGTCGCAGCAGCTGCCTTCGACTGACCTCCAGCTGCCCAGCCACCTGAGCTCGGGCCGCACAAATGCGGTGCATGCCCCATCGTATTGTGTCACGTAGTCCGCTCTTCGCAGCACAACTCGGTTCCAGGGCCTTCGATTGGCTTATGGTCTCCACGAGATTGGGTTCCCATCGGATCAAGTTTGTCAAAGTAAGCGAGTGCTGAGCTCGTGGTCTTCGCCCAGCCACGAACTGCTGAAGTCGTACCGCAGCCCGGTCTGCCCAGTAGCCACAGCCTGAGAAGCCCAAAAAAAATCGTGAAGCTACGGCCTGAGAGGCTTTACCGATGAACTCTCTCTCTGGTCCTCTCTCTTTCTTTCGCCAGGGCTATGGCGAAGGGGAAGTTCCCCTACGCCGCGCCTGGTCCTCTCTCTCTCTCTGTCTCTGTCTCTGGGCCACGAGCAAGAGGATTTCTGGCCTTTCTGCAGAAGACGTTGGAAATGAGCGGTGTCGGCATCTCAGTCATTGCGCAGAGCAGGACTCGCTTGTCATCCCAAGCTGCTGAGCTGCCTGCCTGAGATGACTTGCTGGAAGACTTTCACAGCCTCCTTCAGTGTATGACGGGTTTACCATCCCCCGTTTAAGTGGCCAGGCTGGCGGAAGTCCTCAGGTTGCGCCGCACCTGAAGAAATGCCTGTCACCATCGAAAGCACTACCTAGCTGCTAGGGCACGGAGAACCACGAGGCAGAGGTGAACAAGATGCACATGCACCGACTCCCTCTTTTGACACGACGAGCACATACGAGCACTCAACAAAGAACACCAACTCTCCTCCCGGCTTCGGCCTGCGGCGATCGCAAGTAAAGCGGTCGCAGCCAGGCATCGCTCCCGGCGCCTTATCAGACGCAGCTTGGGCAATGAGTGCTTCCTTCCTTGAATCGTGATTTCCGCTGCCCACGGCTGACGTGCAGGTCTCAGGTCCATAAAAGGAATATCTGGGGTTCCTTCTGACGTTGCGTTTCTCATTAAAACCGGGAACGTCACAACCCTGGGCAGAGCCTCACCTGACTCAGTCGCAACTCGAGGTCCGAGCATCGTGACACGGCCCTCATCCAAAAGACATGACTGCCCTGAGCCACTTAAAAGCAATGGGACGGCAAGCGGACTTCGCAGGCACCCGACACGTGTCGCGTTTCACAGCAAGCATCACCGTGGACGGCGCAGGACGATCCTGGATTTTTCGCCTCATCCCTCTTTCACTCCTCTTTCAAAGTCCTATACACACCGCCCCCGAGCAGTCTTGCCGACAAACGAATTCTGACTTCACGGGTGCCGTCCAACGTGTCATGCAGGTGGCTGCCCGATGCAGCCGGTCACCATGTCTATCCATAGCACCGTAAACGAAATCGATGGGTTACGTGGCACGGTCGTCGAAGGGAAGCTCATCTGCCTTCGATGCAACAAAGGCGAGAAAGGCTGCTGATGCAGTCTCATCGTCCGTATCAAGCACACGAAAGCGCTCGACGATCATCTTGCATACCGCCAGCTGCTGATCGGTCAGCTCCTCTCCCTCAGCTTCTTGGGTTTCTTGTCCCAGCCTCCCGCCCTCGCCGCTCTCAATCATCCGAAGCACTGTGGCTGCCCTCTCCAAGATCGATGGGTCCATACCAGCTTGAGCGGCGCATTCCAAACCAAAGCTCTTCTCTGAACAACCGTCTGCGATCTGATAGAGATATGCAACCGAACCCGTGGCTGCATCGCGCCCGTCTTCAGTTACTGCAGCATCCTCATCAGGAGGCAATACTCGCAAGTGGCTCACCCGCAGGAATGGCTCACTCTGCGAGACTAGGCCCATGCGAAAGATTTCTGTAAAATGGGTTGTGATTACCACCTTTGGGCCATTGCTCCAGCGGCAGAAGTACTCCACTGTGGCAGCCAAAAGCGCCACACCATCGGCCGCACGCGTTCCCTTTCCAAATTCATCCATGAGGACCAGCGAGGATGCAGTTGCATGATTCAAGGCCTCAGTCTTGAATTCCCCAGACCGCAAAGCTTCAAGCTTTGTAACAAGCAGGAGAAAGAGTCCTGTCCTAGATCCGAAGAGTGCAAAAATGCGCAGAACGAGGGACCAGAGATAGCTGGCAAAGATCAAGAGTAAACGTGGAGCATCCGGCAGTTGCGCCCTCGCAGCTCTGTATTCGAGAGAAAATGAAGTCACAAAGGCCCAGCTCTGCCTCATCTGCCGGGACATAACACCCGATGTGGGCCATGTATGCAATGAGGCCAACCTGCTTCAAGTAGACGGATTTTCCAGACAAGTTCGCACCAGTCACGACCTGCACCCGGTATTCGACTTCCTCGGAGTCGAGGCCAATCTGCGTACTGTTCGGAACGAAGCCGTGGTGAGAGCTCATCGCCTCCACCAAGGGGTGCCGTCCTCGTACGATGTGCAGGAGACCAGGCTTCGAAGCGCTGAGCTTCGGCCGTGTCCATTTGTACTGCAGCGAGGCCGAGCCGAAGGCCTGGATCACTCAATGAGGACTGATGGGAGTGAGCAGTTAGGGGTGCGGTCTGACTGCGGTCTGAGCCTGGATCACATCCACCTCCGCCAGGAGCTGCGCGGCCTTCCGCAGCCGCGCCTCCAGCCGGCGGAGCCGCTCCAGGAGCGCCGCCAGGATCTCCAGCTCGGCATCCCGGGCTTGCACCACCAAGTCGCCTGAAATCCGTGCAAGACCACATCCGACTCGCAGCAGCCGTGCTACAAGTACCGCCCCGGCTCTTGATTGAAACCGGCTGAGGCACCAATCTCGGTGTCCAGGCGCCGAGCCATGTCACATTTGTAGAAAAGCCGGCTGCCTCCTCTGAGCTCATGTGGCGTAGGGACCCTTAGGGGGGTTGGGGTAGGGGGGTAGGGGGCCTTAATGCCCATACTAAGGACCTGATGAAGTATAGTCTGCCACCTGTGTCTTTACGAAACTCTTAGAGTAGCTTAGCAGGCTCTACAGAAGATGCCGCAGTGTGGGCAGTCGCGTCTCCTGCGAACTGATAGCTCCAGTCAGGCGCTGGCTGCGGAATGCATCCTTTGCGCTTCAAGAGCTCCATACCATCGGCATCCACCTCTCCACCGGACGCAATCGGATTGGGAAGGGAAGCGTGGAAGCCGAGCCTGAGTCCGCGTCCGACCGACGCAGCGACCGGCAAGTTCAAGAATCAGTGGCAGAAGCCAAGCATGTTGACTTGCAGCTAGGTCACTGCGGGAAGTAATGAAACAAGACGGTGTCCTCACTTCAACGTACGTGTCTAGATTCGAGACTGCACGCAGACTTCTATAGCCGAGTCACCACGGCTCGCTGGGGTGACTTGCCGTGACCGAGAAGCCGCTGCTTCTCCAGGCTTGCAATGTCGCCTTGGTTGCATCTTCTATTTCTGTCTTGAGTTCCCTTGACATTGGCCTTGTCTGCACATCCCAACAAAAAACTCCGATTTTTTCTGGTGGCCCAGGCCTGTCTTGACTCCCCAATGCCGATGAGGCCGGTGGCCGGTCCCAAAAGGGATAAAATGGGATAAAGACATCTTAAAGCTGTCGACTCGTAGACAACTCCGAGTCGCTGAGATGGGTCTCGATGTTGAGATACCTGACTCCGAGCAGCATTCTGATAGAATGCCCAAACATGCGCAAACAAGCGCTACCAGTATGCCCAACCAACCAGAGACAAAGAGGCCACGAAGTCACTAAGCCGGCCCAGATGCTGCTGTCTCAGCCCGTCTAAGCGCCGGTCAACACCGCGTTGCACATGGACGAGGTGTGCATCGAAGTGGCCTGCTGCGAAACATCACGAAGGAGTGGCCAAGGGGACGCCAACTCGGCCTTGCCTTCGCTGAAGTGTCCGTCCCAGTCCACCACGCGCTGCAGGAGGCTTTCAGCCGCCCGCACGTCTTCCGCGAGGCCTTCTCCTGGGAGCCAGGCGACTGAGACCAACCACATTTCAAGCAGCAAAAACGTTGAGGAAATCTCATCTGAATCTCTTCTTGGCCTTGACGGAGCAAGCGGCCAGCATCCCGGGGTCCCAGCTTCGATGCCTGACTTCTTCCCCAAAACACAGGCGGGGAGGGAATTCGAGAGCATCCTCTTCGTGTGGGTCTCGCCTGGCCCATGAGCTCCAGGCAGGCGGACATGTGGCTCAGCGTCGCAGCCAGCGTGCGCCAGTCGCTCACATTGTCAAAGTGATAGCCTCGCGAAAGCTCTGGGGGCCCGAGCCCCAATCCCCATCCCGGTTCCTGCAATTCGCATCCAAGCCACGGCGGGACCTGAGCTCGGACAGAGACACGATCCCGCCGCAATGGATTCGCAGTGCTTATGTGCAAGCGAGACACAGGCGTGCAAGGAGGGCTGGCACATCCTGGACCTGCTCAGAAGCCGAAGAGAGCACGGATCTCTGCACAGCGGCTTGGTACAAGTTATGATTCGATGATGCTTGAAGACTGGTTGCTCCGGCTAGGACAAAGTTTGCTTGAAGCGACGCAGTGAAGTTTGCTTTAAGGGCTTTGAGAAATCATCTGAACTCTCGCAGTCCTCTCATAAAAGAAAGACACATGCCACACACGAAGACTATGCAAAATCAACGGGGATCTGTGTCGCACCTCCTTCAGCTCCCGATGCAACTGTCTCACCTGTTCAGGCGGTCAGGCTATATCTCTTGCGACATACTGCAACACACCGATCGGGCCAATCTCTAAGGCGGAAGCCAACTCCGCACCGCTACCTCGCAGCAGGCTTGTGACGAGCTCTACCGTCTCATGACGGGCCGTCAGCACCTGGATGTTCCGACCTTACTCCCGTTCTTCTGGCCCAAGGCCGTCACAGTCAAAGAGGCTTAATTTACGTGTTGCGGCACTCATACTGCGCTGCCATGGCACTCGGCTGGTGCAACCAACGCCTTAACATTGTCTTTCCCGACGTCGAGGACACCAGTGGCTCCAAAAGGCCGAGGAGGGACAAGCCCTCGCGCGGCTTGCCAAGTCGCATTAGCGATTGCCGGTGCTCCTGACGACACCAAGACTTCACCAGACTACGTGTATGCCTATGCAGTTCGTGCTGCAAGCCGTTCCCTTGCAGAGCTCCTGAACAACTTGCAACGCCATCATGGTTTGCAGGTCAACGAACACGGAGTCTTCAGGTGCAAAAAGCTTCACATCCTGCACGCATGGCTGCCACTGGCGCTCGATCTGGCCCAGCAGTGTGCGGTTCTGCTCCAAAAACTTCAGTAGACCTCCAGCTGCACGCACCAGCTGCTCGTTGCCAAGGTCAAGCGTCGCCAAGGGCGTGGTTTGCCCCGGAGGGCAAGGTGTCGCGGTCGCGGCGGTCGCAGCGGTCGCGCCGCTCGCCTCCTTGGATGTAAGGCTCTGGAAGAGGCTCACCAGGCGAAGCTTGGATGCTTCCACGTCAAAGTCTCCTGCCTTTTGTGTGGCCGTCGGGAAACTCTCCCCACCCTCCTCCACAGGGGTCAACGCGCGCCTGAGAAGCTGTGGAGGGGACCGAGACGGGACAACGCAGAGCCCGGCACGAACAGTTTCAGCGCAGCACAGAATGCGCTCCTTCAGTCTTTCGACTTCCGCAAACTCGGGATCCATCACGTCGGCCACACGCAGCACACGCTCCGGCTCGTCGAAGTCAACGAATGCCAGACCGCACCTTCCTCCGCGTCCGGCGCAGAAAGCAAAGATCACCGAGGTCTCCTCCAGGTGCGGGGGGTTCCGCTCCGCCTGCTCCTCTGCTGCCATCTCTCCGGCGAAACTCTAGACTCTAGACACCTGGACCAGCTTGATCCGAACTGCACGACGGAAAAACGACATACGTGGCCGGTCGGATTCAGAATGCCACAAGTCGAATCTGCTTTCGGCTACACGGCTTCCGAAGTCGACGGCCCGACCGCTTTGGTTTCGGACTGTACATGCCTGCTGAGCTACACATCTCACGCGCATCGATTGCGCAACTGATCACAACCGCGAGCGTGCTGAAAAAAGCTCCCACTTCGTCTCCCTCGCTTGCAAGACACAGGTCGCAGCACTCGCAGCCCGAGTCTACTTTCCGGCTGAACGTGAGAACTGAAGCATCCTCAAGCAGTCGCTTTGCGAAACCTTGCTTGAAGGCTTGCGTTTGCTTTGCCGTAGATGACTTTGATCTACTTTGGCTCCGGCTTCGGCTCAGCTTTGGGAGGCTCAGCAGCGCTCATCGGAACATAGCTCTTCTTGTCCATGACCGAAGGATTCACAACCTCAGAACGCGTCGAAGAAGTCTTCTTGCAAAGGCTCTGCAAAGGCCCTGCAAAAGTAAGGAGGCGTCGTGATGCTGAGTCAGAAGGCCACAGGTTGTCAGAGCAAGCTTCTCCTGGCAGCCAAGGACGCAGGCCGGTCAGAAGGCTTCGGAGCTGTGTTTACATTGGGGCGTGTGCATCGGGCTGTCTTCGACAGCCTTGACGGCACAGCTAGGCAGATGGCACAGCTAGGCAGATGGCACAGATTCATGGAAAGCTGATGTAACTTAACATCTTCGATTGGGCCCGAGTTCCCGAGGCATCTCCTCGGTGCCGGGTCCGAAGTTCTGCCAGTACCTCTTCGAAATTCCAGCCCAGCTTGCCGGTCCCCTTTACTAAACATCTCGGATCACTCGCCAAAGACCCCGTGAGAGTCCGCAGGGTTCAGCTCGCCAACCAGGAAGCCCGCACCTTTGTTGTCACTTCTTTGTACCTGCTCACTTACCATTTTTTTGAATGACTCGTTTGACTATTGACTGATAAGCACTAGATCCGATCAGCTTCATGTGTGTACCTGAACAAAGCAGAAAGTCCAGAAGGCAGCATACCAATCCAGGCGACAGTAACCACGTTCACTTTCACGATTCCACAACATAGCTGCCAGTGGCAACATCATCAGGAGTAGTACTGGCAGCAGCAGCAGCAGCAGCAGCAGCGGCAGCAGCAGCAGCTGCAGGAGTGGTGGTGGTGGTGGTGGTGGTGGTGGTGGTGGTGGTGGTGGTGGTGGTGGTGGTGGTGGTGGTGGTGGTGGTGGTGGTGGTGGTGGTGGTGGTGGTGGTCGTGGTGGTACCAGTATCGTAGCTGTTGTTGTTGTAGCAGCAGCAGCAGCAGCAGCAGCCGTGGCAGTAGCACTGGCAGCAGGAGGAGGGACTCGGCGTGGGAGTAGGAGCACATCCAGCAGCCGAAAACAGCCTCTCCCCTGGTGTGAGAAGCAGCTGGACCCCAGTCCAGTGCAGTCCAGGAAGCCAGCAGCTGCCAGAGCAATGGCGTGCATATCCTCCGGGCACAAATCTCAGATCGACTCGACTGCACGGTGTTCCAAAAGTGTCACAAAAGAAGAGAGCACCATGCCACGACCGGGAGCCTGGTCCATGAGAAGGACGGGAATAGATCCGGTGTAGGGCTCCTTCTCCCGGCTGAAGACCTTCCAAAAAGAATGCCGATTTGTTGATGACGGCAGTATGCCACCACATACCATAAATAGACCACAACAATGCAAGATACTAGAGAGGATCATATCCTGAATAATATATACTGCGGGCAAACCGTACTCAGTAGGGAAATGCAGGCCTTCTCGTAGAAGTCGTAGTTGTCTCCCTTGCGGAAGATCGGCCTCGTTGAATCTGTGCTGAAAGGGCTCCGAGCTAGCACACGGGCAATGTAAGGGTATCATGAGGCTCGTGAAGGGAACTATAAGGGTACTTTACGGGTATATTATAGGAGTATGTCAAGGTGAAAGTTCGATACCTTTTAGTACGTGTAGTGCTGTCCAAGGCTCAAGGATAGCACGACGAGTCGAATGTTCTTGAAAGTTTCCTCCTGAAGAACCCGCTGCAGCGCCAGGGCCTTCAGAGGAGGAGGGAGGGCTTTCCGATTTCCGGGGCTGAGTTATGCCAGTGGAGCGACCAGGTTACCATACACCGCCAGGGAGCTGAAAGATGACGCACCGTGTTGCCGATGCCCAGGGCATCGCCGGCAAAGACGCCCAGGCCAAGACCCACTTCCACGACTACCTGGATGCCTCGAGACAATGCTGAGCTGAAGCTTCAGCCATGGAGAGGCTTCGGCTTGGGATGTCTGGCTGTGTGACTGTGACCGGGCCTAAGTCGTCTTGTGCCTTCAAGCGCAGTCGGCACATCTTCTTCCTTGGCTTCAAGGGTATCGACTCAGACCGAGCACGCCCTCTGCATTTGTCCATTTCTTGCTGCTATGGATCAGATCGATGAGGGTCTTAGAAACGTTCAGCTGCGCGAAGGTCCCAGAGAGCTCGAAGTCGCGCCCGTGCCGGACGTAGGGAACGCCTTCATCCTTGCGGTGTGCACAAGGTCATCTTGCTCGGCGGGCACAGAGCGACACGCAGCCAGTAGGCTGTCCATTTAAAGTGCATTCGAGAGTCATCAAAGCAGTAAACCTCCTTCCAATTCTTGATGTAATGGGTGAGGTCGACGTGATCGTGAACGCGTGATGCGAAGTCGATCCCACAGACAGACACAAGATGAATCCGGCTGGAAACCGGATCACCAATTTCGCGCGGGACGACACGGCCGTCAAACCTCATGATGACGGGATTCTTGCTGCATCTGATGGCGAACTTCATCTTCCAGGCTTCTTCGCCGGCCTGCAGGAAAGGAGGGACTCTGGCCTCAAGGACTCAAGGACCTCGGGGCGGAAGGAGGGGGAGGCGCGGAGGCCTCAGAGTGCCCCTCCAAGGACCGACTCAGGAGCTGTAGGCCCTCATCGCCGGTGTAGACATCCGTAGCCTCGGCTCGACAGATGGCTTGGAGCGGACCGGAGGAGGCTTGGGCCAAGCGGCGTAGTAGGCCCGGAAGGAGGACTGCCATTCAAGGATCTCAGCGATGGAAGCCTTGAAGGAGCAGGGGCGTCCTTGGTCTGAAGCGCTTCGGGACCCACCCCGACCCCGACTAAGACTAAGATGCAGTGGAGCAGCCGTCTTGGCCTGTGCCGTGGTAGACAAACTCCTGCAAAGATGATCAGAGTCACTCCAACCGGCTCCCTGGACTCGGCGTTCAAACCGTGAACCTTGACCCCGAGTCATGAGGCCTTCGCCGATGCTTGCAGATCACACACCCTGACAAGCTCTGGCCAGTCCTTGTCCGGGGGCATGCTCTTCAGCGGTGTCTG